TAAAAGGAGTGAGAGAAAGAGAGAGGGAGGAATGGGAGGTTCAGCCTCCAGGGCCCGGAAAGAGGCAAAGCCGGGCCGGGGGAATGTGATTAGGGTGAAGGTTTAAATAATCTACAAGCCTGACAAAAGGAAAAGGGGGCTTACCTAACGGATGAGCCGGTGGTGGGTGAAGGAAGTCAGAGCTGGAGAAAACAGACAGGGGCAGACCGTCAATCCCGGGGGGTCGCGGAGGAGTCCGAGGAGGTCCGAGGAAGGAGTCCCCTGGCGCCCGGTGAACTCCTTCCCGGGTTTCGGCACCAAATGAAGGGGCGCAAGGATGAAGGAATCACGCGAGACCCGGGCTAACAGTTCGCCAGAGAAGTTCTGCTTTATTCAAGGACTGCGTGTACATTTATAGGGAGCTGCGTTCCAGGTTTGGATAGGGGATGGACGGAGCGGTAGCTGATTGGACGGGGCTGGACAGGAGGTGAGCCTTGACCTGTGACTGGCTGAGGTTTGGCGCGGGTGGGCTTGGGTGTTGGCGCCAGCGGGCTTGTTTACTGCGGAGAAGAACGAGGAAGGGTGCCATATTGCCAGGGTGTGTCCCTGTTCAGGCGCCCATGGGGTCCCTACAGGACTGAGCCCTTAACCTGTGGGATCTGATACTATCTCCAGGTAGATAGTGTCAGAATTGAGTTAAATCGTAAGACACTGGAGAATTGCTTGGTGTGTAGGGAGAAACTCCCACACGTGTTGTGGAGCCACTGTTAAGCCACGGTTAATGTCAGAATTCTGCCCACGTCACCAATTGTCAGGCTCCATGACTTTGCCAGTTGTTGGGCTCTTTTACCTGCTGGTAATCTCTCAATCTCTCCTCTCAATATCTCTTTCTCTCTCTCTTTCTGTCCCCCTCCCCTCTCCCCCACAAGAATAGCAATAAAACTAAAAAGATACATTGCCCCCCCCCCAATTTGCTTACAACGGATGTGCTAAAACCACACCACCAGGACCCCTGGCAAGGGCCCAACACATGTGATGTCAAAAGTGTTGTTTTAAGTGATGTTTGAGAGTAGGAAAAACACTTCGGTTTTTCTTGTCCTTAATAAACCCTCGTGAACACTGCCCACTATCAGTATTATTTTCTTTGCTTTAACACTAGGTTGAAATGTGAAAGGACTTTCTTATTCTAATGGCAATATCAGTGGGTAAGTTCTATTTTTTTTTCCAAAAAATTATTTCACTACAATTATGAAGTAATGTTTTATGTTATTATATGTGTTTTTTTGTTTGTTTTGGTGGACTCATTTGGGAACATAGTCACCGCTTAGTTCATCCTTTCTGTGTTAAAATGAAATATGAATTTCAAACAACGCACTTATGTGGTTCAGAGCTTTATTATACCTAACCCCATCATTAGTCACCTTTGTGACTTTGGAAAGATTTCTTAACCCAAAAGCCTTGTTTTTCACCAGCATAAGTTGTGTATAGTGTACTTGCCTCATGGGTTAACAGGAAGATCAGATGAGGGGACCTGTTGTCATGCAGCCTGCTCCACTCAGCAGCTGAAATGTCCCAAATATGCTAGACTGTGCTACAAAATACAAATAAGATACAGTCCCTGCTTTTGAAGAGTTCATGTCTATAAGAAAGGGAAAAAAAATGATAGAATAAAGAATTATACCATATGAATGGTCTTATTTGTGCTCCTTCCAAAGAGTAGTGCTTATTGTGGTCCATGATCTTTATTGCTAATGTAAACCTATACAAGGTTAACAGATGTTAAAATGTCAAATCAACAGTAGTAAGGTTGGGGTTGGGTAGATCAATGTTTAAAAATAAAGGTTGGTTGGGGCAGGGGGATTTATAGAAGTAAGCATGGCTCTTTATAGGGGTGATATACATTTCTTGAGGGTGTGTTTTCTCAGGGTTTTTCATTGAAGCTTATCCCATTAACAGGTCTTTATTTAGTCCAGCCACTCTGTATAAGATGGCCTTTGGAGAAAGGCATCTGATTTCAGTTTATACAAGTAGAAGCAATCCATCTATCTTGGAAGATTACCAAAACTGCTGACTTTTTTATTAACCTCAGACTTGCCGGGAGGTATTCAAACTGACTTAGAAATTCACTTAAATCTGATTGAGACAGACTTGATGGTATCTAGGGAAATGTTTTATGCAAAAACTCTAGGCTAGTTCTTTGTTCTTGTTTGCCTTTTAGAGAAATCAGTTTTGTGTTTTTTCTCTTTTCTTTCCTCTTCCTCCACCTTCGCCTCTCCAAGACCTTTTCCTCCTGAAGCTCTCCTCAGTGGTGGGCTTATTTGGGAAGCCTTTTCTGATGGTGTTCTTTTGTGGGCTCCCCACAACTTACTTCTTCCTGTCTGTATCACTTGTAGCATCCTTCATACTCCCTGGTGTTGTCTTTATTCTTATACGTGTCTCATCACCCCTGTGGGATTGTAAGCCCCTGGAGAGTTGACTCACAGGCTTCTGTTGACCTATGGCTGTATCTGTTAAAGGTGTAGAAAAGCAAGCCACCATTTCCCTCGAATGTTTACCTAATGTTAACATTTTTTCTAAACTCTTGTTTAACTTTTCCCCCTCCTTCTGTTAGACTTTGGTAAATACTAGGCTAGAGCTAATCTATTTCAGAGAGCAAAAACTTTAATCAAATACTTCTTTTCTGTTTAGCTCCAAAATCTTGGAATTAATCCAGCCAACATTGGATTCAGCACACTGACCATGGAATCTGACAAGTTCATATGTGTCCGAGAGAAAGTTGGCGAGCAGGCACAGGTAGTGATTATTGACATGAGTGATCCAATGGCTCCAATCAGACGGCCTATCTCTGCAGAAAGTGCCATCATGAATCCAGCCTCTAAGGTGATAGCTCTGAAAGGTAAGTCCAAAGGGATTTTTAGAAAGGAATTTTATCTTGCTTTAACTGCTTCATTACCTTAAATATTGGGCAAGTGTCAGTAAGCTCACAACAAAGTGTCATCAATAGTATTCAACTTAATTCTAGAAGTTTTAGCAAAAGCTGTGTTTAGTGTGCCCTAAGAAGAGGCCTCTGAGCACCAGAGCTTCTTTGTAATATCATCCATAGTGCCAGACACTGTGAGGGGGTGAATCCCCAGGACCTTGTCCTCTTGGGTCCAAAGATGCATTATGTCTGGACAGCACTGTGTTCCCCAGTAGAGCTGCGTGGCATCCTTGCCTGAGGGCCTGCTGTGGTGGTGCTCCAGTCATCCCAGGATACAAGCCCAGAGACTTACTCTTTTGTGAAGTGCATCAGCGACAGGAGAGTAGGTAATTAATAGAATTTTACTTCTCAGCACTCAGGGAACCTCAGGTGCTGGAAACTTTCTATTCTTGAGAAATAGAGAATCTTTTCATATTGTCTTGATTTGGGAAATTAAAGAATTACATGTGTAGTGGACTTATTAATGTTTATGTGAAATGTATTATATCACTTGCCTTGAAAAGTGAAAACTATTTCTGGACCTAAAATTTGTGAAAGCCAAATATTAGCTTTGCCTAGGCTTCTGTTTTGTTACAGGAATAGGTTCTACTTTGTCATTTCAGTAAGTGTATGTACATCTGGAAGTTAAGACCTTTCTATTTAAAAAGAAATAGCTGAATTATTTTTATTTGAAAGGAGCTTTGTTCCATTATCACTCTACCTTTTTCCTTGCAATCTTGTCAAAGCATTTTTTTGAATATGGAGTGTAGCAATGTAAACTATTTTATGGATTCTTAATGATTCTTTTCAGTTTCTCTTACTGTATCACTATCCTTTGGCTGTTTTTGATGGAATTCGCACCTTGTAGCATTGTTTTTTGCAATTTATATTGCTGCAGTACTTTTGAGAGACATTATCTAGCATGTCTGCTGTTTGGTATTCTCAGCAGATCTCAGAAATGACCTGCATTTTGGCCTTCCTGGTTCTCTGGTTTAGTTCTCTTTAACAGTGTGCAGGGCCGGCCCGGTGGCGCACTCGGTAGAATGCGGCGCTTGAGAGCGCGGCGGCGCTCCCGTGGAGGGTTCAGATCCCATATAGAGACCGGTCCGCTCACTGGTTGAGCGCGGTGCGGGCGCGACGCCGAGGGTTGCGATCCCATTACCGGTCACGAAAAAAGACAAAAAAAAAAACAAAAAAAAAACAGTGTGCAGTGTGGATCTCCTAGTGTGTGTGCATGCATGTATGTGTGTGTGTGTTTTGGGAGTGGTGGTAGGGGTGTAGAGGAAACATGGTATTTAGATGTTGTTAATCCCTTCCAGCCAAAGACCACAAGGAACATACCTGTGTTTGAACAAGTTGGTTTTATTACTCGTTGCAGCAAGAGAGAACACATACCATGGGGAACTAGGGGGTGTCTCAGTAAGAGAGCGTTAGAAAGAACCTGTTATAGGATTTGGGATTTGGTTGGATGATTCGGGGATGTACTAAAGAAGCAAGGATTTGCTGTAGATTGGGTGCTTTCAGAAAGTGGGGGTAATTTTATGATTGGGTATCTCAATAAATCTTATCTACAAGGGAGGGAAGACGAGAGAGAGAGGATAAAGCTGTAATTGGTAAAGAAGTAGCAGTCACTGTTTTGGCTGAGAGAGTGCTGGTATTTTGTGGATTGCACAGTAAACTTGTTTTTGTCTGTGTTTAGACAAAATTCCAAAGCAGGCTTGCTTTGTCTCACTTTATCGTGGTCTCAGAGGGCCCTTGTCTGAAGTTCGTGTACTCCGAGATGGTTTATGTCCAGCAGGAGAGCAACATGGCCTATCTGTGAATGCCAGGCCAGCTTCAGGGTTGCAGGGGCTGCTCCTTTTTGTTTCTTTCTCAATATTCATGTTAATTGCTTCAACTATAACTGCGTTGAAGTGCTGTTATCTTTTGCATAGGGAAGTGTGAGGCTCTGGAACCAAAGAGAGATAGTTTTAAGGCTTTATCCTATTTTTACTGCAATCCTGTGGCCATAAGGATGATCTCAGATCCTTGTGGTACAAATTGTTGGCAAGTGGAGGATGTACAGTGTGTTTTAAAGGCCCTACACCAAAATGAGCAGAACTGTCTTAAAAAAAAAAAAGGTGTTTGTACAGTGATTGAATTACAAAGATAATTGAATTACAAAGATAATTGAATTACGGATGAGCTCTGCAGAGTGGGTCTGTCATTTCATACACCTTAGTTCTGTGGGTGACAGTGTGAAAGCAGGAAATACAGGGACCTGGTCTATATCTCCCAGATTCTCCCCATTTTGGCTGGTGGAGCTCTTCATGAGCTGGAACTCTTGTAAAAACATCTGCCTTTACAGTCTGTCCTCATATCTTAGGTGCTCAGCCCATGTCGTGGCCAGGCCTTCTGGAGAAGCCTGGAGCAGATTTGCTCAACCTAGTCTCTCTACAGACTTTCTCTGCTGATGGATTTGTGGTGAATACTTTAAAACTGGAGATACATTTTTTTTTCCTTTTTGTCTTTTTTCGTGTCCGGCAACGGATCGCAACCCTCAGTGTCGCGCCCGTACTGGACCAGGACCGGCAACGGGATCGCAACCCTCGGCGCTGCGTCCGCACCTCGCTCAGCCAGTGAGCGGGAACCAGTCTGTATGTGGGATCCGAACCCTCGGTGGGAGCGCTACTGCGCTCCCAAGCGGCGCACTGTAGCGGTGCGCCACCGGGCCGGCCCTGGAGATACATTTTTGCACTTGACCAAAAGTGTGAGGTGGTGTGTAGAATTCCTTATCTGCTGTTCATCAGTTTAATGGAACATGAATACCTTAACTGAGGGACTGGCAAATAGCCTGCTTTTTGTACAGTTCCCAAGCTAAGAATGGTTTGTATAGAGTTGTAAAAACAAAACAGACAAATACGTGACAGAGATCTTATATGTTCCTCTACAGAAAAAGTTTGCCGACATCTTGCATTACTGACCTGAGTATGATATTCCCACTTTTATCATGACATTACCCTTTTAATATTTGTGTTTCTTTTTACAAATTTTACCTTTTTTCCCTTAATTTTTAGAAGTAGATTGCGTATAGACTAATCTAGTACCTGCACAGCAGTTAGTGCTTAGCTCAGGTAGGGAGGGGCAAGGTGGTGGAATGGCACCCCCTTGTGGTGGCACACTCTTCACCTTGACTGTTTCAATCTGACCTTAGATTGATTGCCAAAGGAGGTTGGTCCTTTTTTTTCTTTTTTGTGATGCTAAATATTTTGTACCTCCTATAACACAAGTTCTTTTAACCAGTCTAAGGACAACTTGACAGATTTTCAAGCTAGAGGAAATTTCCTCTGTGATCCAAGGCTATTTGAAACTAAAAGATAACAGCTGGCCAGTTGACTCAGTTGGTTAGAGCACAGTATTACAAGACCAAGGTCAAAGGGTTTGGATCCGCCAGCTGCCAAAAAAGAAAAAAAAACACCACCAGAAACTAAAAAGTACCCCTATCCTATAGTTGAGCTTTTAGTTATTTCTTCCTTTGATCACTTTATTCAAGTATAATTTACATACAGTAAAATTCATCTGTTCTAAGTGTACAGTACAGTGATTTTTAGTGAGTTTATAGAGTTGTGGAACCATCACTACCATCTAGTTTTAGAACATGTTTATTACCTCAAAAAGTTCACTCATGCCAAGGGCCAGCCCGTGGCTCACTTGGGAGAGTGCGGTGCTGATAACACCAAGACCACGGGTTCAGATCCCTATATAGGGATGGCCGGTTCGCTCACTGGCTGAGCGTGGTGCTGACAACACCAAGCCAAGGGTTAAGATCCCCTTACCGGTCATCTTTTAAAATAAAATAAAAATAAAAAAATAAAAAAGTTTGCTCATGCCTGTTTGTAGTCATTCCCACTCCCACCCCCAGCCCTAGGCAGCTACTGATCTGCTTTCTGCCTCAATAGATTTTCCTTTTCTGGACATTTCAAATAAAGGGCATCATACAGTATGTAGTCTTTTATGTCTGGCTTTCTTTCTTAGCATAGTGTTTTTGAGGCTCATCTGTTGTAGTGTGCATCATTTTTATTTTAATATTTATGTTCCTTTTTATTGCTGAATAGTATCTCATTGTATGGACATTCACCAGTTGATGGATATTTGGATTTTTTTCTAGTTTTTGAATATTAAGAATATTGCTGCCATGAGCACTCACAAGTCTTTGTGTGGACATATATTTTCATTTCTCTTGGGTGGAGGGAAATTGCTGGATCATATGGTAAATTTGTTTAGCTTTTGCAAAGTGTTTAACTGTTTTCCAAAGTGGTTGCAACATATTACATTCCCATTAGCAATGTATGAGGGTGCCAATTTCTCCACATCCATTTCAATACTTGATACTGTCTTTTTTATTACAGCAGTTCCCATGGTTGTGTACTAGTGTCTCATGGTTTTAATTTGCATTTCTCTAATGCCTAATGATGTCAAGTATCTTTTATTTTTAAACATGGCTATTAGCCACTTATATATCTCTCTGGAGAAGCATCTGTTTAAATCTTTTGCTCTTTTCTTAATTGGATTGTTTGTCTTATTATTGAATTATAAGAGTTCTTTATATATTCTGGATATACATCATTTATCAGCTATTTGATTTATATATATTTTCTTCCAGTCTGTAGCTTGTCTTTTCATTTTCCTAATGGTGTTTTGTTTTAGTCCCTTTGTGCTGCTGCAACAAAATACCTGAAACTGAGTAATTTATAAAGGAGAGAAATTTGTTTCTCACAATTCTGGAGATTGGGAAGTCCAAGATCAAGCTGCTAGCAGGTTTGGCGTCTGTTAAGGGCGTGTCTCCGCTTCTAAGATGGTTCCTTGTTACTGCAACCTCTGGAGGGGAGGAATGCTGTGTCCTCACATGGTGGAAGGGATGGAAGGGCAAAAAGGAACCAAACTCCTTCAGTCAAGCC